GGCGGGCCCAACACATCTTCCTTTTCACGACCGAGACCAAGTGGCGGGCCCAACACATCTTCCTTTTCACGACCAAGACCAAGTGGCGGGCCCAACACATCTTCCTTTTCACGCCCGAGACCAAGTGGCGGGCCCAACACATCTTCCTTTTCACGACCAAGGCCAAGGGGCGGGCCCAACACATCTTCCTTTTCACTACCGAGACCAAGGGGCGGGCCCAACACATCTTCCTTTTCACGACCGAGACCAAGTGGCGTGCCCAACACATCTTCCTTTTCACGACCAAGACCAAGTGGCGGGCCCAACACATCTTCCTTTTCACGACCGAGACCAAGTGGTGGTTAGAGTTATGGACAATTGACGAACGCACGACCCGTTCAAGACGTGGTGGTTTCACTTCTAGGCGCATGCTGTACTTAGTTTGATAATAAGTTATGTCTTTTAAAACTTGGTGACTCACATAACTGAATCGTCCAGATATTTCCTGACAGATTCATAGATCCTATTCAAATATTAAGTTCACTTTTAGTTTGATGGATTTTTAGTATTTTTTGTTAATCCTAGTTCGTAAGTTAGCTATTTCAACAAATAATTTTTTAAAAAGAGGGGGATGGGGCGCATCACTAGAACCCTTTGCCATTTACCGCGGGCCCTAACATATCAAGACCAGGTCAACTCAAGTCTGACAAGCATTCTACATCCCCAACGAACTACGTCACAACTTACAACAGTGTAAACATTTGTACTGACACCTCATTTAATCTGGCCTATCTCTCAAACCAAATCCGATGGCTTAGTGATTCTCAAACTGCGATCACAAAGGTAGTCGGGACGTATTAAACTTCGGTATATCTATATATAACACAGACCCCCTCCCCCTTTCCACACAAGTCTGACATGAAATCCAAATGTAAAGTAGCACTTGGTTAATGTTAGAATTTTTTTATGTGAGGAAGCATCCACCTTTTCTTATAAAATAAAGAATGTGACTTTAGATATTTTAAATGTTAGAACTGCTGACTGTTGACTGGCGTTGATATCTCTACTCCTATCGATAATTCAAGTTAGAGCGAATGTTGCTGTGAGCCCCCAGGCTCACTCCACGTCTTGTTGACCACCTGCGAGGTGTACATAAAGCTGTAAGATGGTTCAGAGGCTCCCAACGTCTAAACATGGGACTGCACAATCTCGGAGACAGTCTGCCACAGGCCCACGGACAAACGATATTTTACGAAATACATTTTCCTTCATTTCATTAAAAGAAAAAAAAAATTATGCCATGCGGGGACAACATGACGACAAATAGTAATGGCCCACCTGGCCTTTGGCATTTGGAGCAGGACTTTAGGAATTGGGGCTTTATCAAGAAAATTTGAATTTTTAAAAAAATTATCTCACATCGTTTGTCAGTACAAACTATTAAGAGGATTGAAAAGGTACATGGTTAAAATCTTTGATAGTTTGGAAGATCTTTAATTTATTCATTTGTTCTTCAAATCCGGTCATTAGCATACTTTTTCAACTTCAGAAGAGTATGTAAATTCATTATAAATATATATATATATATA